CCTCACTGAGACCTGTTGGTGTTCAGCCCCAACAAGCCATTGTTATCCCAGGCTGCTGCTAGCAACTGTCGAAAGGGTTTTTTGAAAAGCTAAATAACCTAATTCTTCAAAGCTAATGTATCCAAATGTGATGCCTTGTATTTTTCAGATTCCTCTAGTGCCACTTCCAGAGTAAGTTGCAGAAGGCGCTGCAGTGACTATCAGAAATTAACCCTTCTGTATTAATGACCTAAACATGGACGTCTAGGTCTGTAAATGCTTTTATAGATGTGCTTTAAAACAGGGTTTGACATTTGTGACCACTGTGGGGTTATTTAAAGGATAAAACAATAAAACCTCTTGCATCTAACACCTGAAAGGGGCTAATCATGGCTTGTTTCTAGGAAGCCTTTGTAGAAATTCTAGGAATTAAGAGATACAATTGTAATTAGAACAGAATTCTAGATTGTCCTAGAATTTTTCCATATTTTTGTACCTGTTCAGTGAGTCAGCCATGTATGATAGAAACAGAAACGTTACAAGATTGATGAAGAGAAGTAAGGTCAGGTGAGGCTGCAAAGCAAACTAAATTTAAAGCCCTGCAAAACTGACTTTACCAGTTTAGTACTTGTGTGCTGTCATTTCTTTAATGACAGTGCAGGGGTGGGGGGAGAGACTGGGATGCAATCCGTGAAGTCAGGAGATGAGCTTTGTTTTGTGTCTTTGTAATAAATGTTTAACAAGCTTGTTAAATAAACTTAGACTTTTGTATCTCACAGTCCAGCCTGATTTTTTCCAGCCTCCATTCACTGTCCTCAGAAGACATGTCTTGCTGTTCTGGGCTCTGCTTGGGCAGTTCTTTGCGGTGTTAGGATCTGTTGGTGCTTCTCCTCGAGAGGACACTTCTCTGCGTGAGGGATTTGCACTGCACTGGTGGCAGCGGGGCTGGTCTTGGCACTTTTTGAGCTGGAGAGCTCCCTTTCACCATACCCCATCATATTCTCAGCCTTGCTTGAAAACAAGGTTTATGCCTTCCCTCCAGTTTGTTCCCCATAATGCATGTCCCTGAAGATAACTTCATTCCCCTCCATCTCTTCTTCTGAAGTCAGTCTGAGAAACTACTCTGATCATGATAACTCTCCACTCCCTGCTTCTGGTTACAGCTTACACCATTTATCTTTTACCGTACACAGGGAGGAGACGACTCTTGTGAAATCGTTCTGAAGTGTTCACTTACTGTTGGAATGCCTGAAAATACTGTGTGGTATAAGGCCTGTCCTGAAGTTGTAACACCTCAGATGTAGCTGTTTGATAGAGTTCTTAAATATTCATGTTCCAGAAATGTTTGTCAAGTACCATTATAAATGTGCTGTATATGGTAAGAAGCTTTCAAAATTACTGTCTTTAAGTCTGTTATCAAGCAAAAAAACTAAGACTTTGCCAGTAAAGAACATCCAAAAGGACAGCAGCAAAAACCTGGGAAACTGAACATTCATCCATTTATATGCTGTAAACGTCTCTGAAATTTTTAGATACACTGTTGAAAACTGAATGATTTTGAGAACTTGGGGAGACCTGGGAAGACTAGGTTGGAGGAACCTGTTCTGCCTGGTGCTCACAACAAACTGTGATAACTGTTGGTGCACTTGGACATTTCATTGTTTCCTTCCTGTCTATATCCATTTGTTGTCTCTGTGGCTTCTACTTGCATCCTAACCTCAAGGGACACTGTTTAGACAGCACCCAGCAGAATGGGGCCCAGTCAATTGTTGGGGTTTCTAGATGACACCTCTAATGCAGAGGTCCTGGAGTTCAGAAATGAGAGAGAGAATGGTCCTGGGCAGTAAGTAGGCTTTTGTGTGTGGGTCCCTTTATATTGCTTTCCTGGCGCTCTGTTCTGTATCAGGTTTGGATCGTTGTTGGTGTCATGGTCCAGTAGCTCCGTTCTTCTGCAGCCATTGCCCAATCAACCTGTTTGTGCTATGAAATGGGTGCAAATGAGCTAGTGCTGAGCCTCACTTTAATGCAGATCTAGCCAGTTCCCTCTATTCCAGTGATTTTCAACCAGGGTGCGACAGCACCTGGGGGTGCCTTGGGAACTTTTCAGGGGTGCCGCTGAGTGCCAAGCAATGCTACCACTTCAGGTGTGCAAATATGGTTCACAAGATGAATCCAGAGATTTCAGATAGGAATCCCCATAGTGTTAAAACCGTTCTGACCTGTTGTAGGCTTTTGGAGTTCTTTGCAACAGAAGGATTCCTCTAGTATTTTTCTGTAGTCAGAAATCAAGTAAAAAGTTAAGAGCTGACACTTTCCAAGGGATACTTTCAGTCTACAAAGGTTGAGAACCACTGCTCTCTTTCTCTACTCTGGCTGACATAAACTCCAAATTAGTCAGTCTGTTCCCCCCCCTTTTTTCCCCACAATCACTCCTGGTATTTTATAAACTAATTATTTTGATACCTTGGAAACCATTTCAGTTTAGAGATGGAGAATTCAGATACTGGAAGGTTAGGTGAACTAGACAGAGATTAGGATTTCTGCTGCATGCCA